TTTTTTGATGCGCAAGGGGAGAAATTGAGGGGACGACTACCTGGACACCAGCGAAAGGACACCAACGATGGGACAAAGAGCTTTTATAGCGGATTGGGCGGAGGGTTTACAGGGATGGGGCATGGTAATGGTGGTGGCTTTGGTGGTTTGAGCGGATTGAGCACGATCGGGGAAGAAAGGGTCCAGGTTAAAAGATGGGAGGGAAGTGGGAGTAGAGGTGAGCCATGGCACGAGGGAGGAAAGGGGAAGAAGGTTTGTCTGCTATTGGCTGGGACGGTTGATGCAGTGCTGATTGGATACAGGATGTGGAACTCTGGTTTCCGGATGGTGATACGTTGGTTTATCTGACTGACAAACCTCTGGCATCGAGGAACCCTGAAGGACTGTATAAACCGCCGACACCACAGCCTTCCTTCCGACTGCGCTCCAGCGTGCTGAGGAAGACCGAATCGCCATATCTGATATCCCTGTTGGACGAGTCGTTTCGTGAGCGTCCGCCGACCCCGGCGCAGGATGACGAGATATACTCGCTGCAACAGACCGAGGAACAGTTGATGGATTACGAGTACCAGCTACGCCGGACGAAAACCCGGGAATCTGCAGGATCCATAAATTCGCAGGGCACGGCAAAGATGCAGGATTCCGCTGAGAGTGGCATCATGTATAGGATGTACTTCCCGGCGCCTTCTAGGCTTGACAAGGCTATGAAACATCGATACCATCTTACCACGCGGAACTTCTTTGCAATGTTGTTTAACCAGTCGTTGGTAGGTGTTACTCTTGGACAGACACTACTGGAGTTGACGGAGCGCACCGACAAATATCTCTGTAGTCCTTCTCCAATGGAATATGAAATGGCAGACCGCGGCCTCTCAGAGATCGAGTCTCCGTACGGATCTTTCCTAAGTGCTGGTAGCAGCTTAAACTCTGGACAGCAGGCGCAGCAGCCTCCCCATCCAAACACTCAGCGCATGATCATCGACTATTTGCAAAACCGCGAATTTGGCGATGTCCGCAAGTGGCCTGAAGGTGCCGCTGGCCTGGTTGTATGGTCCGAGCGAATTGCCCAGCGTGTTGCTAAACAAGGAAACTTGTCGACATGTGACGAACGTTTAGAGTCTCTCTGGAGGGAAGGGTTTGTTCACTGCACTGGATTGCTTACGTCCCTACAACTGCAACCAGAGTGGGGGGATATCTCCCCAATCACGAAGGCTCTTATCGATCGTGCATCCCTGGAAATTCAGGTTCGGGTCAGCAATGCGGACCAAAGAATGTCCGGCTTCCATTTCAACGACATGTGGCCTGTCTCCTCTGCCGGTTCTCCTCCTGCTAGACTTGCATTCGATCGCTTCCAGAAATTCCTGATGAAACATTACACGTCCCGATTCACCGGAACCTGGCCACCGAACGATGGTAAGTTTACACGCACAGTGTACCTCCACCTGCAGCGTGACTTTGCAACTCTATATTCATACATCGTCGACCATGATGCCGTCTGGTCTCCTGCACACGATCAATCCGTTCCATCCGGGTCGCGAAGAACAATCGTCAAGCCCGCCCTGCCGAACTGGAGAGCAGACGACGAATCCCTTCAAATGACGGACATCCTCAGCGGCTTTGACGAGCGCGAAAACCATCCTCCAATCCCTCACCCCTTTCCTTTGGTCCCACCTACCAACACCCCTGCTACTACTGCCAACACGTCCACCGCGACTAAGAAGCAAAAAGGCTTCTTCCCCACCACTGGCCCCCGGAACCGCGCCTACAACGCTAACCCCGGCGCTGCACTCGCAGCTCTGGCGCTAAGTGAGAGTACAAACATCGAGGCGCTAAAATCCAGCACTACCTCAAACCCGCTCCTTGAAGCCTTCCAATCCCATGAGAAAAGTATACCGGCCCACGAGATTTCCCCTCACGACGCACGCAAAGGTCGCTGGATCATGATCTATGGCGTACTCCAAACCCTTGCCTCGGTCGCTGTCGACGCGCCTGGTGTGACCTGGACAGAAGGTGTCGAATACTGGATCAACCCAAAGCTTCGCGGAACACCACCGTGGAAAACGTCTCCTCATGTAGCGGCAGCCCAAGAAGAAGGTGATGAACGCTCACACTTCCGTAGTCACTGCTGGGTCTCGAAAGGGCCGCAGGAGGTGGTCGCTGCAGTACCAGTCACATTATCGCCGGGAGTTTCGGCAAGGATAAGGCAGCGCAGTAGGAGCAGAAGCAGGAAGCAGCTAAGGGCCCTCCATAGAGAGCAAGCGGCAGCAACGGCAGCGGCGGCAGAATTAGAGGCGATTTCAAGGGGCAAGGAGAACAACAGTTCTGGCGATGAGGGGGATGATGAAATGGACGCCGGTGAGAGTGAAGCTGCAACCCCGCCACCGCCATCCGAACAGCAGCGGTTTGGAACGTGGGGACAGAGGCATGTGATGAGAGGCGGGATGGAAAACCCAGGAATTATGAAGAGTGAGGTGACGACGTGGGCGATGGAGTAGCAGTTGGGGCTGTGGACTCAGGATTGATGGTTCTAGGAGTTCAGGGACATTCTGGTTATTATATGTTTGATTTCATTTACTTGATTAAACTGGTTATTGTTTGCCTAGGAATGCTTTTCGTTTTATTACTTCGTTGGTTTGTTCGCAGATTTTTTTGTCTCCTATGTCTTCTGTGTTGATACCCTCCCCCCTCCTCCTCACCTCACCTTGGGTCTTTCATATACCATACCAGTCGGCACTTACACTTTTCTTATTTATTTTGTTTTGTTGTACTTTGTGTCTGAGCGAGCTTGGGCATGTCCGTCTACCTCTACGTTTGTTTGGTTAGCTAGTGTTTAAAGTTACGAGTTAAGAAGTAGTGGAGATCAAAAAAGGAGTTTATTGGCTGTGGCTTGGTGTTTGGAAGCGTTGTGAGTACAAAGAGTGTTGGTGGATCATGAGTGGGGTTCCATCTGCGAGATATTTTTTTGGACTGGACATTAGGCTTCTACTGTTTGCTATTTTTTTTTTTTTTTGCTCATGGCGTATTAGGTTAGGGTATTTGGTAACGATTAAGGTACGGAGTTGAATGAAATCACACTTCAAGATGATGGACACTAATGCTCGGCTTCTGCTTTATTCATCATGTTTCTTGAGCATCAGCCCATAAAGATTTTGATAATGCGTGAGTATGTGGGGGGCGGCATTTCATAGGGGATACTGTACTCGGTAGTGCGAGTGCTGGACGCCTGTGGGGCTAGGACATGTCCTATCACTCGTTCAGTACGTTATAGGGATCCTCGGATATAAAGATAAGAAGCACAACATCCGACTGCTGATCCTACCAAGCCGTCGACAGACTGGACCAACCCAAGCAAGGGCTTCTCACCAAGCATTTAATATCGATACTTCACTAGACATTTGGTCTAGCAGATTACTACTAGACAGAGTTTCAGAACACTGAAACGGTAACGACGGGATATTGGTGTCGTATGTATATCGGCGTGCGTGGTTGTGCCTGTAGACCCGTGTACCAGGGGGTGCCACGTCACCATAGTCGTATGTAGTCCTGACAAAAAAAAAGATGCCTTCTCAACCAGATGATAAGGCCCAACGCAAACAACCTCTCGTCATAACCTACGTAGGCTATTTAGTTGCGTGACCGTATTAGTGCTGACTACGAAACGAAACGAGACTTGCGAAGGCCCCACGCCTGGCGTCTTGTCTCTTGGAAATAAGGCTTTGGGGTCTGGGTATGAATCTTATCCAATGTCACAGGACTACGTGAGATTAACTGGTCGGGATTGGCTTTGAGCACGGAAATTAGAGTATAGCATTTCGATCGCGGCCGGCCATAAGGAAACTGAAAATCACAATACTAGCCATCCCTGGGCTAATAGAGCATAGCAACAACTAGCACTCAGCTGAAAGCTGCAATTGCGGCCACTAGTTTGCTGACGGCTAGGTGGGCATCCGACATTTCCGAGATTTCGTCCTAGGGATTACGCTCGGCGGTAGCAAAGTGTCTCGGGTTATATGAAGCCGGTCTCGAAACGGCATGAATGAGACCCCATGATCCGGGATATCATGACCCGTGGGACAGCGCTACAGCATATTGACGAGATGGGGACGGGCAGGGCATGAGGATGGTGGAAAAAAGAATGTACGATGAAAAAAGGGGAGGAGGAGAAAGGGAGGGTACGATTTTGCTTCAAGAGACAAGAAGGGACACCTGACGGCCACACTCGAGAAGTACTGGGGAAAAAAGGGTAGATTATGTCATGGCCGCAAGCGGCCGAATACAATATAATTCGAACAAAAAAATAAATATTGACGAGATGATCCGCGACAACTTCCGTTTAAAGTTACTCATCAGGTCTAGACATTTGCAGTTGTTTTCAGAAGGTTAAGGCACACCATCAAGTTCTTCTCAGCTCTGTTTATGATAATGCTCTTGAGATCTTTGACGAACCGAATCCGGTACTTGAGTCCGAGAATATCCAGCTTGCCGTTTCTCCCAGTTCGGAGATCTGCTCGATAGGCTTCCATAGACTTCGCCCGACGTCACGAAGTGAACACTGAGGTTCGGTTGAGGAAGGTCACAAGGTCTAGAACCGGCCTCCAACATGTTTCTACTGTATATAGCCAAACCAGCACGACGGATATGAAATTATGGTTACTGACCCATGCCACCAGCTACAGGGTAGCCGTAGCAAGGATGTCCTGGGGGTGTAAGAAAGCTGGAATAGGCGAACGTGGCCTAAGAGAAGCGAATGAATGTAGGACAAGGCGTCAGATGTTTGGGTCGGGCAAGCAAGGGTGTAAGGATTGTCTGTCCGGAGACTTGTTAGGTTCCACAGTTGATTTTGGTACTTTTTGGCCTCTACCACGGAACTGAGAGGTTGAGCAGAACCTCCACTTAACTCCAGGTCCTTCACAACCCACATACAGGGGTATACGCCTCTATGATCATGAAGTGTTTGAATTATTCATAAATGCTTTTGGGGAAAATTATATACATCACATGGCTGCGTGGCTCAATGGTAGAGCGTAGTCCTCCTAAGACTAAGGCTGCAGGTTCGAGTCCTGCCGTGGTCGCTCCATTCTTTTTGCTTCCCAATTATCAGTTTTGTATGATGCCAAAGTGCCTACCCAATCCCTGGATCCCATATTTATTGTAAAATGCATTACTGCACCACCTTGGGAGTATGACTAAGGTACAGCATCTTGGAAAACCTGTAATTTTGTGCTGCAGCTGTTCCGGCACTAACTTGAAGGATGGTTTGCCATTGTGTGAAGTATATTCGTCGTACCTATCGTTAGGTGTGTTGTGAGTATAAATCACAGCTGCCGTTGACTGAGAGAGCAACCAGCAATTGGACTGGAATGCAATTTCAGCCTCTTGCATCCCATGAGTGGTATCAATACATCCACAGCCAAAAAGACCAATTGTATACAACGTGAGGGCGGAACGCTGTAACAATACACCCCAACACAGCAGGACTCGCGTATTTCCGTCTCATATATCCCGTCATTTCTTCTTTTCGTTTTTGAACTTTTCACGCATCTGTTCGATAGTCAGAGTGTCTCTAACGGAAAGAAATTGGGATTTCAATACATACCTTGGATTTTTTCTGCTTTAGCTTGACTTTTGAACGTTAGCACTCCATCGACTAGCCGAGAATACCATATCACCCACATCGATCTGTTTTCCTCTCGGTCTTTGTCAAGTACCTGTTCTTGTTAGCTGCTTACAGTCGCGCTCGTCGGGGAGAGGCTAAAATGAAAGCCTACCGGAATTTCTTCTTCTTCTCCTTCAGTTTTTTCGGCCATTTCTTCTCTTCCCCTTCATTCTTCACTCCACCTTTCTTCTGCTCACCCTCCCCAGCATTAGCCTCGGCTTCGCTCTCGGACGACGAAGCATTCAGATCCATCTCTTGCACCGTAACAGTTGTTAATTTTTCCTCGTCCACATATTGCTCATCCTTATTCACCGCCGGTTTTACCGCTTCCTCGACGCCTCCAAATTCGTCGTCGTCGTCGTGGTCGTCATCATTCTCGCTCTCGGGTTCGGATTCTAGCAGCTTTCCGGCGGCAAGACGGGCAGCTTTTCGTGCAGCTTCCTGTCCAGTTTTGACAAGTTCTTCGATTTCCTCCTTACGCTTGTCGCGCATCTGCAAAGTTTTATTAGCTCTAAGGACGGGCTGTATTTTGATGCAGCGGAAGCAACGCGTGTGAGGAGGATGAAGAGAGGAAAGAGTACCTGTTTTCGCGCTTCTTGTTTCGTCTGTTTCTCGATTGTCGCGGCGGTCTCCTTCGCTTGCTTGATGCGCTGCAACTTTCGCTTGTGGAAACCTGTAAGGTACTCTTTGCGCGCGTCACGGTCGAATGTGATTTCTTCTACCCGGGGGGCGCCGCGGGAGTCGAGTTTTCGTTTCGGTGGCATGCTGTGGAATGGTGTTAGTGGTAGTTGGGAGGCGTTTGTGGTGCTACAAGATAAATCAACAGCAAGACTGAAGCAGGTCGAGGTGAAATTAAGGTTATCAAACCAATCTTATCTTAGTTGAATCTCGTGCACTTGGCTATTGTCACGGACGCTTTGTTTTTTCGCTGATGCAGAAAGCAAAAAAACAAAGCGTCCGAGACTAACTTGGCTATTATGGCGCAATTTTCAAAATGAGTCTAGCTCCTGGTGGTGAAAGACACCCTATGCGAACTATTTGAGGGTCATTTGCATTAAGTAGCTTGAATCCCATCGCGATCCAGTCGCTCCCGATGGCTTGGGGAGAGGGTGTTGCGGTGACTGAGACTCTGAGAATGTCCGATTGCGTAATTGCGGGGACACTATGATCAATTGATGGGATAATCTTCCTACAAATTACCAAAAAATAAGGTTTCAGTACTCTAGATGTTTAGATTAAAATAGTTATTGTTGGTTCTTTTGGAATTGATTTATATATGGCCTATCTTATGTTTTGGAAAAGCAAATTGTCAATTATATGGTATTGAAATATTATATATAGTCATCGGTAAGATTTATTGCAAATGGTCTGGACTCTACAACATGCCAAGAATTCAAAATTACTTGGCCTCCATCCTTCCCTGTCACAGTTGGGCTGAGTGACGATTGATAGTGGGGTGATAATTGGTGATTAATATAAAAGATAAAGCACAACAAAAATAAAATCAGGTTTCGAACAGAGGCTAAAGTACAACAAGAATGAAATCAGTTTTTGAACAAAAGCTAAAGTATGACGAGAATGAAATCAGGTTTTGAACAAAGGCTAAAGTACGTAATCAAGTTTGGAACGGGAAATGAAGGAATCATGCAATAAGTGATGTACAAAGAAAGCAGGAGTTGGGAGTTATTATGGAATGAATGAAATACTGTATATAAACCAGGCGTTTAGTGGAGGATAAGTTTCTTTCTTCACTTGTTCTCTTGTCTAAAAAACAATCAATTAGCTTTGGCTTTCACTTCTTTCACACTCACTGATTCTGGGTTGGGTCTCTTGCGTACAGTCTTCGCTCTCTTAGCTACAGGCTATTCTTGATCCTTGAGCCTTCTGGCTTTCGGATTTTATGACCCCTAGAATCCTGAGCCTTGAACCATCGACACCCAGCCCTGAATCTTTGACAAAAGAATGAGTCTACAATTGATTCTACCCGTTATATTCTTGTTGTATTTGCTGTTATCCTTACCGTTTAGGCTGCTATTATTGTCACTGTACTTGCAATGCATCTTGCAAAGTTTTTAAATCAGCAAGCCATTTCGAAAATGGATTGGTCATCCCATCCTACTGGAGACACACCTGTTCATCTTCTTTGTGGACCTTTTGAAGACCTACAAATCCAGATATTTTTGGCAACCAGTACTATTTCTAAATACATGAGCAAGATAAAAGGACCTGCGACTGTATTTATTTGTGTTACTGTCTAGAAAAAGAAGGAGACTTAGACCACAATTATTCAAATCCAACCATCCACTGCACCTGCAGAACAATTCAGAATTGGGCCATAATACCTACCTGCAACTGCAGTATAGAGGAATTCAATACTTTTTTCAATTGCATTGAGGAACATGATTGTATCCTTTGTTCAGTGTGGACCCTCGACATCGAAACCCTTTACCTTGGCATCTAGTCAGACATTATTGTGCTGGAACCCAAACAGCTGTGGTTGGAATGACATTCCCTATTTCAACGTTTACTGGATTTAATGGCCAGACAACATGTGGGAAGACATCTGTGATCAGTGTGTAGAGGAAGAACATTTATTATGATTGGATATCAACAATTATCTTCATCAATCACCCTTCAATGACGCCAGTAGCCATGTCAGACAGCAGAATAAGGGAAGGGTCTCCCTATATCGAGATTGCCAGAGTGGATCCAATGATAATGGCATGCATGATATTGGTAGATGTTCCAATGCTGAATCAACCAGATACCCTGACAGCAGCTAACAAAATGAAGGAATATATAGCAGTCATTGCAGGAGCATGAGTATTTCAAATCAAGAATCAAATGGAGCGATTCAACGAACAAATCGTCACCCAAGCAGCAAACATTTGAACAGTTCAAGAACGAATCACCAAGTTGTTAAAAGAAGGGAAAGACCTCAAACAAACAAGGCAAACATGGACAAGGAATTAGCACTAACACAACAAATACTCCAGAACTTGGAAGAAAGAGTGCCCGCCTGTACACACAGGAATTTAGAGACCAAAGTCCCACAGTTAGAACAACGACTAGCCAATAGAATGTCTTCAGATACAGAAAGGTATTAACGCAGGATATTGAAGATACACAAGAGCAATTGAAATTGATAGGAGAAGAAAGAAACAAATATCAGGATCAGGTCAAATGATTGCTCGCACATGTAGGGAATTGTGGTAATAGTAGCAGCAACAGGGGACATAAAGGCAGCGAAATTCTTTGATATTTAGAAACAGACAGAAGTGTACTTTGAGGAAGGATGGTACAGCTAGCTATGGAAATTGCGGATGAACGAGGACAATTCTTCAGCAAACAATTCAAAATGAGGTATATGGCTAATTGACCAGAAGGTGTGGCCCTGAATCAAATTCAACTGTACATCGACAGAAAAACCGGAGATCTGAAGTCAGAATCACTAGAAAAATTACTAAACATATTACAATTGGCTTTCGGAGACCACGATATACAGGCCACAGCTAATTGAGAACTGCTCAAACTTAAACAAAAAGATCGAAAGCTTACTGAATACTATTCAGAAATCCAATGATGGATAGCTGACGTCGATTGGACAGGAGCAGCCCAGTTGGAAGTGTTATGACAAGGCCTATATGAGAAATTGCAGGACTCACTACAACATTGCATTATCCTGTTGGAACTCCTCCAGTTCATCAAAATGTATTCAAAGGGAGATTACCAAATTCATGCCCGAGCGGCTGCGAGAAAGTCAGGAAGATGGAAAGCAGGGTCAAAGAAACATAAAACCTTGAGCAACACAACACCTGCCCCAGAAACAGCACCAGCAGGCACTATAGCAAACTATCATGGCCCCGCTCCGATGGATCTCTCAGCACTCAAAGGGAAGACAATTACGCTGGAAGAATACAAGCGACGAACGGAAGGAAGACATTGTATATACTGCAGGGAAAGCAGGCACTTCGTGGTATTGTGCCTAAGAAAATTGAATGAAGCATCAGAACAAGTGGAAGTAACACATTTTAACAATGCATAACATGAAATGGACGCAGATTTGGGACAGGAAGCCAAGTTGGGAAAAGATTAAGCCAGTACAATAAGGATGGCCATTGTACTGGATACAAATCTTCTTTGGCTACAGTTGTTAAATCTTTTCGAATTTCACAGTTTTCAATTAGCAGTGCAGAAATTAAGGTGTCCTCAATGGAAAGGAAATATTTTGTTATGAAATATTTGCTGAAAATCAGGGACAGATGAATTGATACACATACTCCAATTGAATATGGTGCCACGGGAATAGCATTTGTAGATAAAGATTTTGTTCGCCATCATCAGTTAGAAGAGAAGGAAATGCGACAATCAAGAGAGTTCAAGGTAGTCCATAGAAGTCCTATTGAATCAGGAACC